GCACCCGCCAATCCAGATTCCGACTGAGGTTGTGGTTGTACCATAGGTCGGCTCGCGTTCGGGACTGGCGCAGTGTTTAGTATTTTGGCTGCCAAATTTAGTGACGAAACCAAGCATACTGGCGCAGTGTTTAGTTTTTTTGGCTTCATGACAGCTGGCATACACGTCCAGAACATCGACTCCAGAGCTGCACTACTGTGCCTAGAGGAGTCGTCTAGTGGACGGCAGAACCCAGCTAGAACTGGGGAGGTGTCGTCCAGTATGCGCCGATAGCAACGTACATCATGCTCCGGAAGTCCACACCTCTGCATAGAGGATCAACATTTCGTTTGCTCCTGCCAAGCGTTGTCGGCAAGAGGATCAACATAGTGAACAGAGGCTTTGATATCGTCGACTCCGGCCGCAACCAGGCAGGGAAATAGGTGAATTTTTTTGTCCTACAGGCCAAAATCCAAAAGCCATAGTTAATCCTAATTAAACACCCCCTAAGTGCACGCCTAGGCACACTTTTTTCTGTCACTTGTTGGCTGTCACTCAGAGAGGTAAGTAGAAATTGCCGGCTGTTGTCGTGTTGAAGTGGGCATCACCTACAGGCCACTGCTGCTGCCACGCCGGAGTGCCACCAGGATGTGCCTGGCAGCGTGGGGACTGGGACCAGACACACCTGCCAGGGGAAGCTGTGTGGCCGCACTCAGCCATCCACTGAGAGCGTGGGGTCGGATGAGGCGATGCTGCGAGGTGAGGCGAGCAGGGCCGCAGGGGAAGGCCCCACCTCTGTGGCTGGCTGGCTGGCAGCGGCCCATGGCTAGGATGTGATGTAGGGGTCGAAGGCCCGGCCTGTAGTGAGGATGTGAGGTAGGGGTCGAAGGCGTGCATCGGTTAGTCATCTGCCTGGCAACGCACCACATCCTTTTATGCTTCTCTGTAAAAAATCATGCTTACAAAAATGTGTACTTTCCTGTGTTCAAAGTTATATCTGTAGGTGATGTTGTTTCTTGTGCTTTATTCCCTATTTATCTACTCTGCAGTTTAATCATATGCTTTGCTAAAAATTGATTGTGTTGTATCAACTGCAGCTATGGAAAACATGGATGAGCATGACAGTGACGCTAATATGCCATTAGGGATAGATTCTGATGGAGCTGCTGCCTCCAGATTCAGGAAGAAGAGGTCTAAGGTGTGGGAAGAGTACAAGCCTATATATATAAACGGAGTGATCCAGAGTGCGGAATGCCACTACTGCCATACTCTCATGAGCTGCAAAGGTGCTGATGGACGTTCCAACGGAACGAGCCATTTATGGCGACATCATAATAATTGTCGAGCAAAAGAGGGATTTGACCTGAGTGAGCTGCATGATACAGACTTCCCTTATGGTATGTTTATGTTGTTTCTTTTATGCGTCATAATTTAGGTAATTGAGTAACCGATGCATGTGTATGCATTGAGGTGGATTATGCTAATCCCAGTTGGTGGAACCACTTTGCATAATATGCTGTATGTATATTTTGTGTTGTTTTAGGTCTCTTACAGTGCTATGGTATGTCCATTCGGTAGAGCCACTTTTGCATATGTTGCTGTTTGGCTACATGCTTTTGTTAAAGTTGGTGCAAACATAGTTTAATATTGCATCCATCTATGAAATATGTAACAAGAGAAGACGGCTATCTCTGTACCTGTACATAGGCAACTATCCATATTCTTAACTTCCATATTCTTAATTAGTTAACTTACAGCAGTTAGTTCAATCTTAATCTGTTTTTCCAAACGAGATACTATGTCTTCCACAAGACCTTACAAAATAAGAAGAACACAACACCGTTAATTACCAGAAACTGAACCTTACTGAATTTTGCCTACAACAACAACAACAACAACGAAGCCTTTAGTCCGAAACAAGTTGGGGTAGGCTAGAGCTGAAACCTATAAGATCTCGCAATCAACTCATGGTTCTGGCACATGGATAGCTAGCTTCCAAGCACTCCTGTCCGTGGCTAGTTCTTTTGTGATATTTTAGTCCTTCAAATCTCTCCTTACGGACTCCTCCCATGTCAAATTTGGTCTAGCCCAACCTCTCTTAACATTACAACACGCTTTAGCCGTCTGCCATGCACTGAAGCTTCTCGGGGCCTGCGTTGAATATGCCCAAACTATCTCAGACGATGTTGGACAAGCTTCTCTTCAGTCGGTGTTGTCCCGTATATCATCATTCCGGACCCGATCCTTCCTTGTATGGGCACACATCCATCTCAACATGCGCATCTTAGCTACATACACCTAACTGTTGAACATATCACCTTTTAGTCGATCAACACTCAGCGCCATACAACATTGTGGGTTGAATTGCCGTCCTATATAACCCGCCTTTTAGCTTTTGTGGAACTCTCTTGTCACATAGAACGCAAGCTTGGTGCCACTTCATTCATCCGGCTTTGATTCGATGGATCACATCTTCATCGATATCGCCATCCTTCTGCAACATTGACCCCAAGTATCGATGGTGTCCTTCTGAGGTACCACTTGCCCATCAAGGCTAACCTCCTTGTGCCTATTAGTACTGAAAATGAACCTCATGTACTCGGTTTTAGTTCTACTAAGCCTAAAACCTTTCGATTCCAAGGTTTTTCTCCATACCTCTAAGTTTCTATTAACCCCCATCCGACTATCATCGACTAGCACTACATCATGGGATATCTCTTTGTATATCCCTTGTGACCTCATCCATCACCAAAGCAAAAAGACCGGCCAGAAAGTAAACAATCTTCGTTGGAACATTACGTGTGCAAAAGTACTCTACAACACCAGCGTAGCTCAACGAGGAGTCTCGAGTCCATTGTGGTGCGCAACATCACGCCCGCCAGCTCGACGAGTGCATGGCGCACATTCACGCTGGCAACAAGGCCATCAGAGGTCACCAGGATGGGAGGTTGCGGCGGTAGCAGGTCTTCTCGTGCGCGCCCACTTGCATCCATCTCACCGCCATGCTAACCATCATCTCTGACCGCTCCGGTTGTTCTCGGTACCACTGAATCGTGATGCCTTCAGTCGCCGCCTGCCACATGCCGGAGCTCATCACATCGGGATGAGCGATTGGGGATGGGTCGTCGCAGGGCCGGGGCTCATCGGCCATGTGCAGGTGCCACGTGAAGAGCAGGGAGAGTGGGGGACGGAGCGCTGCGGCGCTGAGGCTTGTCGGTCATGCGTGGGCGCGACGTACGAATAAGGAAGTGACGAGGTGGAGGTGGTGCCGTGGAGCAGCAACAAGTGATGTGTCATTGATATCTGGTTGCCATGTCGTCATGTAGGGAGAGGCAAAATGAATTGATTGAGGAGGCAAGGGGGGGATTAAGGAAGGAGTTGCATATGACAGGTGGGCCCATGTAGTAAGTGAGAGTAGATTTTTTTAGGCTGGGATTACCTCTTTCCTATTACACCAAACAAGATTTTACTGTCATAGGGTAGGGATCGATTGGGATTGATAAATACAGGGTGCTAACTTCAGTGATTAAAAGTTCAAGGTTTGATTCCAACTACGCGTACAAAATCAAGGTTTAAAATAGACTTTTCTCCCTACCACATGACATTTTGCGGCATCTTATCTTAGGCCTTCTCCAAGTCAATGAGCACCATATGCAGGTCCTTTTGCTCCCTGTATCTCTCGGCAAGTTTTCGTACCAAGAAAATGGCTTCCATGATCGACATCCTAGACATGAAACCAAACTGATTTTTGGTCACGCCTGTCATTCTTCTTAAGCGGTGCTCAATGACTCTCCTATAGCTTCATTGTATGGCTCATCAGCTTAATTCCATAGTAATTAGTACAACTTTGAATATCCCCCTTGTTCTTGAAGATTGGTACTAACATACTTTGCCTCCATTCTTTTGGCATCTTGTTTGCCCGAAAAATGAGGTTGAAAAGCTTAGTTAGCCATACTATCGCTATGTCTCTGAGGCCTCTCCACACCTCAATGGGGATACAATCAGGACCCATTGCCCTTCCTCCTTTCATCCTTTTTAAAGCATCGCACACCTTAGACTCCCGGATTTGCCGCACAAAACGCTTGCTTGTATCATCAAAGGAGTCGTCCATTTCAATGTTAGAGCTCTCATTCTCTCCATTGAACAACTTGTGGAAGTACTCCCACCATCTATGCTTAATCTCCTCGTCCTTTACCAGGAGCTGATCTGCTTTGTCCTTGATGCATTTCACTTGGTCGACATCCCTCTCTTGGATCTTGGCCATCTTATAAATGTCCCTTCCTTCGTGTTAGTCCTCATACGCCAGACCCCTTGCTTCACTCACAGCTCGCTTTGCGGCCTTCTTTGCCACCTTGGACTTCTTTATGTTGCCTGCACTCCTATCCAGGTGTAGCCGTTTGAGACAATCTTTCTTCTCCTTACTAGGTATCTTTAGCTTCGCTTCTACTTTCCCTGGACACTCCAAACTCCTTTGAAGCCACCTTACAAATGCAAATCGCCATCTTCATCCACATATTGCCTGCATCACCTCCTTCCTCCCAAGGGCCCTCCTTAATGACCCTCTCCTTTAAAGCCTGAGCTGCCTCCTCCTTGAGCTTCCACCACTTTGTTCTAGCGACTTTGGCATGCTTATCCTGCTGGCCACGAATCCGAAAGCGGAAGTTAGCCACCACAAGCTTATGCCGAGGGACAAAACTTTCTCCAGGTATCACCTTACAATCTAGGCAAGCATGTCTGTCTTCTCTTCTCGACAGGACGAAATCAATCTGGCTAGAGTGTCGACAACTACTAAAAGTCAGTAGACGTGATTCTTTCTTTCTAAAGAGGGTGTTAGTTTCGATCATATCGTAGGCTAGAGCAAAGCTTAGGACATCTTGTCCTTCTTGATTCCTGCCGCGATAGCCAAAGCCCACATGCACCCCTTCAAAACCCGTGTTAGATGTACCCACGTGGCCATTGAGATCTCCTATGAAGAGCTTGTCGCCAATAAGTACACTCCTAACCATGTCCTCCAGACCTTCCCAGAACTCCATCTTGGTGTTCTCGTTGTGGCCTACTTGCGAGGTATATGCGCCGATAACATTGAGAATTAAGTCCCCAACTACCAGCTTGACCAGGATAATCCGGTCCCCACTCATGGAGTTCTCATTCTGGCCTACTTGCGGGGTATACGCGCTGATAACATTGAGAACTAAGTCCCCAACTACTAGCTTGACCAGGATAATCCGGTCCCCACGCTGTAACGCCCCCGATGCGGCTATATCTCCCACGTGTCGAAGCACGACTTAGAGGCATAACCGCATTGAAAGCAATGTCGCAAGTGAGGTAATCTTCACAACATCCCATGTAAATAAATAAAGGGGAAATGATACATAGTTGGCTTACACTCGCCATGTCACACAAATACATAAATAACATTACATTCATCCAAATACACTCAAGGTTCGACTACGGAACCAAAATGAAGATAAACCCCAAATGCAACATAGTCCCCGATCGCTCCAACTGGGCACCACTACTGATCATCTGGGAAAGACACGTAGTAACGGCGAGAGTCTTCATCGAACTCTCACTTGAGCTCGGTCATAACATCTGGAGCGGTATCATCGGTCCCTGCATTTGGTTTTGGAAGGAATCTGTGAGTCACGGGGACTCAGCAATCTCACACCCACGCGATCAAGAAGAGGCTAGGTGGCGAATGGTAAAGCTAAGGTTGGGCATTGCTGGAGGAGTTTTATTCAAGGTGAACTGTCAAGGGGTTCCCATTATAACCCAACCGTGTAAGGAACGCAAAATCCGGGAACATAACACCGATATGACGGAAAACTAGGGCGGCAAGAGTGGAACAAAACACTAGGCATAAGGCCGAGCCTTCCACCCTTTACCAAGTATATAGGTGCATTAAGATAAACAAGATAATATTATGATATCCCAACAATAAACATGTTCCAACAAGGAACAATCTCCAATCTTCACCTGCAACTAACAACGCTATAAGAGGGGCTGAGCAAAGCGGTAACATAGCCAAACAACGGTTTGCTAGGACATGGTGGGTTAGAGGTTTGACATGGCAATTTGGGAGGCATGATAAACAAGTGGTAGGTATCGTAGCATAGGCATAGCAAAAGGGCGAGCATCTAGCAAGCAAAAATAGAAGTGATTTCGAGGGTATGGTCATCTTGCCTTCAAAGTTCTCAGAGTTGCCTTGATCCTCGAAAGCGTACTCAACGGGCTCCTCGATCACGTACTCGTCTCCCGGCTCTACCCAAGCAAGAGCAACAAGCAAGAGGAACACAATCAACCACGTGCAATGCTCAAGCAACATGATGCAAACATGGTATGATATGCGGGATGCGGTATGTGATGCATATGCAAGATTTGAAAAGGAATGACTGAACCTGGCCTCAACTTGGAAAATCAAGAGTGCCACTGGAAAGGTGAGTTGATTTCGGTCGAAATTGATATAAAGATCACCGGAATCGGATGCACGGTTTGGAAATGGCAAGCAAAACAAATATGGCACCGGTCTGCGATTAACAGCAAGTATCCTTCTAAATGCATCAAGATAAATAAGCTACTGCACTCAAACATGGCAACAAAATACATGGCAGCGATCCACTCATGATGCTTGACAAAAAATGAACACTGAGTTACGGCTAATTCACTCATTAACAGGTTCAAACAAGCATGACAAAAGTGCAAAAGATTACTGGTTTCAGACTTAGTGGAATTATCAACATGTCAGGAATTTAACATCAGGAAGCAAAGTTTAGAGCACGATAACTACATGCTACAGGAACATATCATGGCAAAGCAAGGCATGGTATGAAGCTACTCTAAGCATATAACAGAAGTCCCTTAGTGACCATGAGCCAAAAGGGATCAGAAAATACAATTGCAAGCATGCGAACATAGCAAAAACATAAACAGATTCAGACTTAGTGAAAAACTGGAGCATGGCAAAACAGATAACGAGTAGGCATGTTTACGAGCTCGATGCACTCACTACGAGGCATTGCATGACAAGCTAAGCATACACCCAGCAAATAGACATGACATAGAAGCTAGACATGGCAAGAACAACAACATAGCATGCATGGATCAACAACAACAAGCTCGGCAAAATCGCTAAACATGTTAACAATCTGCCAGGAACATTTTATAGCAAAAGTAGAGCTCGATTGACTCAAGCTAGGGTGCTCCATAATTGCAAACAAAGACATGGATGCATAGAGTACAACATTATCTACAAAACATCCTTACTGATCATGCTTAAAAGAGACACGGATCACTAGGAAACAACATGAACATATGGCATAAAAATAATGACAGGGCAAGGACTTAGTGAAATTCTAAGTCCCTGAATTCAGCATCATTGAGTAAGCTACTTTGCATGCTTGTGCTAGTCACCATAGATATCACAAAAATACATGGCATACACCCCTGTAAAGATGGCATGGCATTCTTCAAAACACATGTAGAGCTCAGGATCATATCATGCACACATTAATCATGGCAAAAATGACAAAAGTGCATTTGCTGAAACAGATCTGAAACTATCATCACATAGCCCTCTTCCAACAGCATTTCGGGCATCAAGATGAGCTTAAATGAAAATGATGCAATGAGATGAAATGATGTACTCATCGAGACGAACATTTTGATATGCTACACGCACGAATCGGAGCCACGATGAGTTAGTTATGACATGGCAAAGTATGCAAAATATTAGGGTTAGGAGGGAAAAAGTCAACCCCGAGATTTCGGATCTGAGATCCAGCCGGGCCGGTACTGTAGCAGTTCGGACGAGGCTCGCAGGAAAATGGGGCCGCGGTGGCCGGAGCCTCGCCGGAATCTGCGGAGGAGGGAGAGGACGCCGGCGACGAGGGGGAGGCCGGAGATGGGCGCGGCGTCGGCGGCGCGGAGACCGGATCGGGGCGGCGCCGGTCGCCGGCGTGGGTGCGGCCGGTGGTCGCCGGACGGCGAGGGGCGGCGGAGATGAGGCGGCGGGGCAGCGAAGGCGGCAATGGAGGCGCGGGCATCGGGCGCCTCGGCCCGGATCGGCGGCGGGAAGGGCCAGCGCTGGGCCTGCGGGCCCGCGGCGGCGGCGGGAACCGGCGGTGCCACGTGGCAGTTTGCCACTGGTGCGGGGCGGTGGCGCGATGTGTCCGGCCGGAAACGGACACGTCCGGCAGCGGCGCGAGCGGATTTTTTTTAGGGTTTGGAAGAGGAGATCCGGGATTTTCGGGGAGGGACCTATTTATAGAGGTAGAGGGAGCTAGGAAGCTCCAAATGAGGTGCGGTTTGCGGCCACGCGATCGTGATCGAACGCTCTAGATGATGGAAGGGGTTTAGGTGGGTTTTGGGCCACTTTGGAAGGGTGTTGGGCTGCAACACACACGAGGCCTTTTCGGTCCTTCGGTTAACCGTTGGAGTATCAAACGAAGTTCAAATGGCACGAAACTTGACAGGCGGTCTACCGGTAGTAAACCAAGGCCGCATGGCAAGTCTCGGTCCAATCCGAGAACGTTTAACACCCGCACACGAAAAGAGGTAGAAAGGGACACCGGAGGACATAGGAGTGCCGGAATGCAAAACGGACAACGGGGAAAATGCTCGGATGCATGAGACGAACACGTATGCAAATGCAATGCACATGATGGCATGATATGAGATGCATGACAAAGAAAAAAACACACGAAGGCAAAAAACCCGACAACGATGAAATAAAATAACTTAGTGCTGAAAATGGCAAGAGTTGGAATATAAATAAGGTAGGTTACATCCGGGGTGTTACACACGCCTCTTGACGTCTACCACCCCATACTCGAGACTCTTGTTGATCAAGATGCCTACTCCATTTCTGTTTGCAGTTGCCTGCGTGTACCACAGCTTGAAGCCAGTGTCCTCCCACCTCCTTCGCCTTCTGTGCTCTTCATTTGGTTTCTTGGACGCAACGGATATTAACACCTCTCCTCACCGATGTATCAACTAGCTCATGTAGTTTAGCTGCCAGGGACCCTATGTTCCAGCTAAGCGGGTCCTCCTAGGCTCAGCTAGCTTCCTTACCCTTCACACTCGTCGAGTCAAATGCGAAGACCCTTGCTCATTTTTCACTACACCCGGGCGTCGATGTAGCGCGCCACTAAGGATGCGACGACCCGATCCTTGCTCACTTGTCACTATATCTAAATCAACATATGGCAGCACCAAGCGGATGACGGCCCGGCCCTTGCTCATTTGACACCACACCGGGTGGAATATATATGGTGCATCGCTAAGAAGGCTACGCCTCAATGATGTTCTTTTGGTTTCATCTCCATAAGAGTGGCTGAGTTTTGACGTTGGCTCGCCAAGCCTATCACACCCCTCCTTTACCCGGGCTTGGGACCGGCTGTGTCGAGACAACATAGGCGGAGTTCTTATTGATTTTAGCCTATTTATAAAACTTTGGATACTGTACGCGTTTGGTTAATTTGGGTAATATGGTCTGGAAGAGCACGATGCTGCTAGATGAGCTGGACCTGTTCGGTTAGTTCGGCAGAACAAATCCCCTTCAGTTTTGTACCGATGTAACCAAACTTTCAGTGGTTCATGATCTATGCGCAAAACGTGTGAAGTTTTTGTATCAGAAGGAGAACACCGAGAAGGCTCAAAAGTTTACAAGGGTAAATTGACAAAACAAGAGCAACCAAAAGGGAAAAGCTCTAAACTAATCATGTCCAAAAGCTAACAAAACCAAGGAAGAATGCCAAGACAAAGCCAAAACCCTACAGCTATCATATGCACAGTCCTAGATGGCAGCCATGCATTAAGCAATCAAGCTTCTAATACATTAGTGATATTAATTAAGGGGTAGTTAATAATATCTCAGTTCAACAACTGATGGCATACTTCAAGCAGTCATGTTGATTCTACCAGTCAGTTATATCCTTCTTGCTGCACTTGCTAACTTAATGAGTTTTTTTTTTTTTGCGAAAACTTAATGAGAAAATTGAATACATGGATACCCGGCACACTGTTCATCTGCTAGATCAGTGATTACAGGTTACAAATTCGGATTTTGTTTGGCAAGTTACAATTAACTTGTAAATAAGATTCTTTACACGACTATACATAAGATCTACAAAGCACGGACACGGCATAGACAGCTATATCGGCATCCTAGTATGGGTGGACACGGCGATACGCGTATCCTGTAGTATCCCATCTTTTCCGAATTAAAAAAAACTAAATAGGGATATGCTGTGGACACGGTGGGGCCTCTGGAGGCCAGTAACGGCCCTATACAAACCCTATTATTGGCAGGTTTGCACGCATGAGCGCCACAAAAGGGACGAGCTGCTCCAGGCTCCAGTGACTCCGCCACTGCCGCTGTTTTCCCCAAGACCAGCAGCCTCTCCTCCCGACGGCAAACCATGCTCAAGTAGGTAACCTCGATCTCTTCATCTCTTTGTGACTCATTTTTTTGCTGTTGAGCTGCTGCTGCTAGCTTCCCCATGCGGCCATGTCGTTGCTGCTTGGGTTTTTGATTAGCTGCATGCTGTTGTGCTGCTTGAATGCTTTTGGTTGGGTTCTTTTCTTCGTGCTGCTGTTGAGCGTTGACTGTCACTGCTGCTTGCTGTTAGGGAGCATGGCATCTGGGAGCGCCGCCGCCGGTAGCCAATCGTCCGTGGGTGAGAGTGAAGAGCTCCTATTTATCATGTTATTAGTGGACTGTGTTATGCTGTCATGTTGTGTTTACTGTCTAGTGTGTATTACGGTTTATTTTTGTAATACCGCGTCACGTTGGGAGCTTGAGATTGCCAAACCATACTGCACTTGGGAGCCAAATACATTGGACATTTGGAAAGCAAATGTCTTTACTGTTTTCATGTTCTGTACCACTTAAGGTTATGTCTTCTTAAGTTTCTAATACTAGCATTTGATGTATTTTGCAAGTTGCAATGACATGGGCCTGGAGGATCAATTAATTCAATCATTGAGCACTTGAAAAAGGAGACAGCAAATGGGGCAGTATTCTGATCTCATCTCAGTTTCTCATTAATTTTTTGTCTTTAACTCCTTATTACATGGTGTATTTTTAATTTATATATTCTCCGTATTCCGGTGTGGCTGTTTTTGGAAAATGCCGTATCCCGTGTCCCCGTATGCGTATCGCCGTGCCTCATATCCGTGCTTTTTAGCATAAGATTTGGATCTTTATCATTAGGTATGGGTAATGTGTTGTGCTTTACTTTAGAGATTTTGTTGTTTACCACTTTACTGTAAATTAAGGGTGCAAGCAGCAGCTTTATTATAAGTTATATCTTTAATCTTAAAGGTATATTCTGACTAACTTATGCGTGCTTCATGCATAGTAGGTGTGAATGACATTGATCCACTGAACCAGATTCTTCCAGAGCCACTTGATGACATGAACTTGGTAAATCATAGTGAGAACGACAGATTGAGATCGAAGGTATGGATGGACTTTACACCTGTCTATGTTGAGGGGAGAATCCAGGGTGCTGACTGTGTCCATTGCCACACACGACTTAGTGCAGAAAAAAGTACAGGCGATTTAAACCAGCACACTCAGACTTGTTCAGCACGGGCTGGAACTAGTGTAAATCATCAGAAAGGTGGGCTTTTCTCGTCCAGTGTACCAATTTTTAAATCTAGGGTGAAGGATGAACTTTTACCTGCCTTGACAAATGGTAAAGTTCAGATTGCAGAATATGCTAGCAGGTTCCACTTGGGTTATAATTCTGGTGACAGAACTTGTCAAAATCAGCACATTCTGGCTTTACCAGCAGACAACATGATCCCAATGGAACAAGATAAGTCGTCTGCTCGTACTCCAGATATCAAGATCAGGAAATTTGATCAAGAAGCATCTTATCTAGAGCTAACTAGGATGATAATAATGCATGGCTATCCCCTGTCAGTTGTGGAGCATGAAGAAATGAAAAGATTTGCGAAGGGCCTTAACCCTGTGTTTAACATGGCTTCAAGCCTAGATATGGAAGAATATTCAACTCTGCTGTTTCAGAAAGAGAAGTCTGACCTTAAGGAGAAAATTGCACTTTCGTCAAGGCGAGTTTCGTTATCAGCAAGTGTGTGGGTCCCTCATGGAGCTGAGCCCACAATAAAGTACCTGTGTTTGACCGCGCATTTTATTGATTCTGAATGGAAGCTTCAAAGGAGAATAATCAAGTTTGGTGTGCTTTGGTCCTCACCTTCTAATTTGGAAAGGATGATACACTGTAAGGAAGCTTGTGTGCTAGAATCTGAGGTTGGGGCGTATAATGTCATATTGGAAGCTATAAGAGAGTGGAATATTGACAGGAAGCTTTTCTGCTTGACATCTGTAAGCGAAATAAGAAACAGTGGAAGTATCTCAAAGCTGAAGGACATGCTTATACAGAGGAACTGTCTTCCTATTAGAGGTGAGCTATACAATATTGCTTGTGTGGATGATATGCTTGACAGCGTTCTTTCGAAAGGGCAATCATTGCTTTACCGTGTCGGTGATCTGCTAGAGAGATTTATTCAAGCATGTGCATCTTCATCGCTGACTCAGCAGCAACTTTTGGAAGTTGCTAACGATGTTGGTATGAAGTGCCCCCATGAAGATGCAAAGTGGTGGCATAAAATTTACTTTAGACTTGAGGTGCTTTTGCATTTCAAGAAGTTACTTCCCTCTGAAGAATTTGTATCTGTGGAAGAAATGAAAATTGTTGAGCCTATCTATAAGATTTTGAGGGTTTTCTATCGAGTCGTTGAAGTAATGTCTGGGCCTGTTTGCCTGACAGCAAATCTGTACTTCCATGAAGTATGGAAAGTTAGGACGATTTTGCAAGAAGAAGCATGTAATGAACACTCCGACGTTGCTAGCATGATTAGAGAGATGCAGGAAGCATTCAATGAATATTGGGCAAAGTCGTACTTGTGGTTGTCAGTGCCTGTTGTTCTTGATCCGAGATTCAAAATTACTTTTATCGAGTTCCGTCTTAAACGAGCTTTTGGCACTGATGCAACAAAGTATGTAAATGATGTAGCTGAAATAGTGAGGGAATTGTTTCATGAATATTGCACCCCTGTGGATCAGCCGAATGTTAAGACTTCAAATTGCGAAGTTCACAATGTTGAAATAGATGGATTTGACAGTGATTTATTGGAAGATTGGGATCAGCATCTTACTGCACAGACAAGGAGTCAACTATTGTCGGAGCTTGACAGCTATCTTGAAGATGGTCTTCTTCCACGGAAGGATGATTTTGATATTCTAAACTGGTGGATGAGTCATTCTTCAAAGTATCCAACCCTCTCAAAAATGGTGCAGGATGTCTTGGCAATGCCATCATCCGCTGTTCACTGCCAGGCAGCATTCAGCAGTGAGAGCCCAGTAATTCATAAGCAATGGAGCACATTAAACATCAAGACAATTGAAGCACTTGTGTGTACCCGAGATTGGATTAGCTAGGTAGTAAGTTCTGCACTTTGGTTGTTCTATTTACATACTTGCTGGCTTCGTTGAGACCCTAAGATGAAGCATGCGTAATCTTATTAGACCACAGCTTAATTTTGCATCTTGACTCGTAAGAGAAACATCAGACAGACTTTTAGAAGTCTCATATATTGGTTCCATTTTCTATTAATAGAAATTAGGCTTACAGTATCTACCATAACACGGCAACATCAGCAACAGAACACCACCTCAAAAACAAAAGACCCACAGGAGTAACTAAGAGACGGGAAGGAAAAACTACTGCAGCGGCGAAGCAATGCAAACTGGAGAAAACAATGCCCAATCCTTGTGCCTTCATGAGCCTGTTAGTCAGAGTCCATGGCGTCCAGCTCTTCCCTGCACAAAACACTTCAGATGTGACGTGTCCCAGCAGCCTTGTGCAGAACTGCAGCTCCTACCATGCAGTCGACTTCACCTTCAGATTGCTCACCAGTTAAGCCAATAGCAAACCTGAAACACCACTGTGGTGGGATCACAGGGCCATAAAGATAGAAAACAAGCTGAACTCCCAGCCTTCGAGATACCCCATCACAGCGGCTACCCCAATATTTAGAAGTTTCTTCATACTCCCCCTTAATCCTCTTAGCCAAACGTTAATACAATGGTTGGCGCTATGGGCTGGGCAGTTTGCTCCAACCACACAGCTGACAACATTCCAAATAAATCTAGCCGGGGGCAGGTGAAGAATAAGTGGTCAATTAACTCGTCACCTCTGCAGAAGGAGTGAAGTGCATCCTATGTCCTTGAACTATTTCAGAGGTGTCACATAGGTCCTCAAACTATGAAAAGTGTCATTAAGGTCCTCGAGGTGCAATAAGTGTGTACATAAGTGACACATCTGAAATAGTTCGAGGACCTATGTGACACCTCTGAAATAGTTCGAGGACATAGATGGCACACATATTGCACTTCGAGGACCTGGATGACTATTTTCATAGCTTGAGGACCTATGTGACACCTCTGAAATAGTTTGAGGACCTAGGATGCGCTTCACTCCCGCAGAAGAGACAAGCTTTTGGGCATACACCTCCCCTGTGCAGCAGAACATCTCTGGTCACGATGCTTCTCTTAAGCACTAACCAGAGAAAAGTTTTGACTTGCAGGGGGAATTTGCATTTCCAAAGAAGCCTAAAAGGGAACTCCGCCTATGCCTTTTAGGCATAGCCGGTCCCAAGCCCGGGTAAAGGAGGAGGGTTGTGATAGGCTTGGCGAGCCAACGTAAAAACTAGCCAGTCCCATGGGTATGAAACCCATTTGAGCGAGAGTAGTACTAGGATGGGTGACCTCCTGGGAAGTCCTCGTGAAAGGGTTTCATATATAAGGGTTGTGATAGGCTTGGTGTGCCAACATAAAAAGTAGCCAGTCCTTTGGGTATGAAACCCATTTGGGTGAGAGTAGTACTAGGATGGGTGACCTCCTGGGAAGTCCTCGTGAAAGGGTTTCATATCTAGCCTACCCCAACTTGTTTGGGACAAAAGGCTTAGAAGAAGAAGAAGAAGAAGAAGAAGAAGAAGAAGAAAGAAGCCTAAAAGGGACTTCCCAACGTTCTGCATTGCCAAGTAAAAGGATCTAGAGCATGATTGGTTCGATGCCAAAAGTTGGCATGCCAATATTTGGGAAATGCCAAATGTTGGCTAGTGATTGGTTGACTACCAACTTTTCTTGCCAACCTCACAAAAAGTTGCCAACTTTTGGCAGCTTATCATTTTGCCAAATGTTGGCTTGCTTATATTGTCAATGGGATCTAGTTGGGGAAAGAGACGTGCAATGGAACCACTTCCAATTGGCCCCATTCACAATATTCCGCGGGTTTGTAGAAAGTGGAAAATAACCTAGGGAAGGAATCATCAAGGCTGTTATTGCGCAGCCAGATATCCTTCCGAAAGATAGTTTTCCTCCCATCTCCCACCTTAATCCTACATGACCAAAAGAGAGGTTCATTTCCATATTCCTCCCTTGCTCAGCTTAGCTTGCCTACTTGGCACATTCAAGTCGGAGGCCAGGCAATGGCTGTTCTGCTTCCAGCGATTCCTCTGTCTAGTGGCTAGGGGTGTCTGAGTTGTATTCTCCAGGTGTTCCCCTTCTTAGGGCTTGTACAAACTCTTCTTTGTACAAAGCATCGAAAACACAAGTCTTTTGCGCTTTCTTGTGAAACAAACTTCCATGTGCCCTTGCCAAAAATGAGAGTCCCAGGCTTTTAGTGATGACTTGGCCTAGAGAGCAATTGCTTAAATACATTTTGGACAGAATTTCCTGTCAAGGCCCAGTGTCATTGAATAACCAACATAACCACTCGGCTAGCAAAGAGATGATAAGCACCCCCAGCCTGGTTCTTTGGCATACATACTTTTGGCCAACCACCAAATGATTATTATTTTGGCACATGTTAAGTTGTGGCTAGATTGCACAAGGTACTCCCTCTGATCCAAATTAATTGATGCGACTTTAGTACAAAGTTGTACTAAAGCAGCGTCAATTAATATGGATGGGAGGGAGTACTACTGTTCAAGTAAAATCATCCAGTCGCATACAAGTGCCAATTAGTTTATTAAATTGTGCTTCTTAACTCTCTGGTGGTGATGTTTTTCTAACATGAGAGGTTTTCCACCAATAATTTTGCAGGCTCCATGTTATGCTACAGAATGCTCTTCATGGAGAGAAGGCTATGCGTTGTACAAATACCCATTCTTCTTCTAACATTGGAGGATGCTATTGCTAGGACGACTTACTAACGAACCATTCTATTTGCGTGCCGGACATAGTTTCACAGCGTCTCAAACGTTTCTGCATTCCTCTCTCAAACAAATGTACACATCGGCTCATCGCAGAAGCTTGTTCTTGGGGTGTATCATGCTATGTTGTTTCCTGTGTTTAGACCCGGGGCTCCTCCTGCCCAGATGCGCGCGTGCACAGTGCCTATGGTTCGCTCCTGTTTTAACCTGACGAGGATCACCTGTGTATATTGTACGAAGACATTCGCACCTATAGGCAGAATTGACAAATTTGACCTCAAAGCGAAAGTATTTTACAAACTAAACTGTTTTTAAAAATATTTCACACCGCTGACCCTTTTGTGCAGCTCCCAACAGTAAGGCGCTGCACTCTACTGTGCAACTCCTTACAGTTAGGCGCTGCACAGTGTAGTGCAGCTCTTTACAGCTAGGCGCTTGCTGTTGGGCGCTGCACATTAGAGGTCAGCTGGGTGAAATATTTTCAAACATAGTTTAATTTGTGAAATAGTTTTGTTGTGAGGTCAAATTTATGTTTTTTGCCGCTCCTATATGCTGGATATGCTGGGGAAGGTTACGGTGTTGAATACCCTTGGAGCTGTTGTTTTAGGTTCACGTTTTTTTCCCGAGTTGGATGTCACGGCTTTGTGTGCGGGAGCGCAGGCGCGGTATCAGGAGAGCTGCAAAAACCATCCGGTTGTCATCATCCCCTCTGTCCCTCCTTCGCGGGGAGAATCTCCCTATAGTGGTCAATCGCGTCAGACTTCACGGGGCACATGTTCGTCATGAGGATTTTTGTGGCCGATCCCATTGGGCTGCCACAACATCAGTCTCGTGGCCAGGTGGAGGAATGTCAACACCTGCGGGATGAGATCCCCCAGGTGACCAGGTGTGGCTGTTGTCTGGGGTGGATAGCATCGTGTGGAAATTGGGAAGACTTGTATAGGATCTGACCATTAGGTGAGATCGTAGGATCAACACAAGAATTTCATATTTAGACACCTCAAATTGTGATTTTTTTCACAACATACCTGCAAGGTATGTTTACAACTCTAAAAAAAACCAGCTTCGAACTTGGTCTACGGTAAGAGAATCAAAAAAGATAAATTCGACTATGAATAGTGTCAGCTTGGGGTGAATAGTATTTGACATTGTTCACATTCGATTTTGTCTTTTTTGTTTCTCCTTCAAATTAGGAGCTGAGACTTTTTAAGGTTGTACATCAAACACGGATGTGTGTCTACACATATTTTCAGAATTTTTGAACATGTTTTGAGTCTTCAAAATGATTGATCTCATCTAAAGCTAGATCCTATGCAAGTCTCCCCTGAAATAAAGAGATTCAAAGACACCATCCATCTAGAATTATTTGTCATAAAAATGGATAAAAATGAACATATCTGAAACTAAAATACGTCTAGATACATTCATTTCTCTGACAAGTAATTTCGGACGGAGGGAGTATGTGCCCCGTTCTGACGTTATGAAAATTTGGAAAGCAAAAATAGGAGGGTTGTGTGGTTCGCCATGGCGACGACCGCTTGGTCACGTCGGGCCTCTCGTAAAAAAAAGCTCTAAAGGAGGGGCGTATATTCAAGCACCTGGCTGATCTGGTTTATAAACTTGTTGTGATATTGCAGTCGTGGAGGCCTATCGCTACTTGGTCAACTTATCATCAATCTGCGGGTGAAAAGCCACAACCTTCATGCTGCTTCACGACAGGGCAACAACGGCTAGGGGAGCCGCCTGTGTAGCGTCGCTCGACGGGTTTCATGGTTATATCTAGCCCTCATAGTGCCTCCTTAGGGTTCACTTTGTCTTCGCATGCGCCGCGTCGCTATGTCAGACCTTGTTTGGTATCGCATCGAACTTTCTTATTTCTTGCTAGACTGTTTGCCATAAACCCTAAACCTTAAGGGCCTCATTCTAAGGACGGGCAATCGTCTCTTCTCTAAAAAATAGGTGAGAATTCCTGTTTTTTGCAGGACAAATGAGGATGTCGTAGACAACAACCACACCTGGACAGTAGCACCTTGGTGACAGTTGCTGGATGATCTTGTTTATAAACTTCCTGGTGAATCATGGGGTAAGCGGGACATATGAGGATGTCGCAGGGCCCAGTGCGGACCTCGTTCACGTCACGCTTCATCCGCATATAGCCATTCTCTCCCCATCCTTTGCCCCAGGAGTTTATGAGAATTCAATAGTCATCGCAGATTCGCTGGC